AAATTTCCAAAGACTATTGGTTTTCTTTATTGAATTCCAATTAAACACACTATAAATTATAATTATAACTCCTCTAATTTAATTATTTTAAAAATGTAATTTACATCACTTCTTATCATATAAATAACTATTCTCACATCCTTCTCTACCATATCTCATATCTTCATTATTCTCTTTGTTTTTTTTTTAAGTTCTTCATGGGGTGAAAACTTATTTAAAATATCATTGTAAGAGTTTGATTAATTATTTAGTTTGAACTTTTTTTTCAATTTTATTTATTTTTTTGTTTTTATGTATTTCTTTATGTCTTCATTGTTTTTTATATTTTTAAATGTAATACATATGTATAATAATATTTTATGGTTATAAGAAAATCAAGCTAAAGAAACCAGCTTCATTATTTTACATTGGATGTTTGTTTCTTTCTCACATATTCATGTATATTTATTTTAATTTCAAAAGTATGTAACTTTTTTAACAAAATAAACTTTTTGTTATATAATTATCAAACCAATTTGTAAGACATTCTTTTAAGAATAATGATCCTTATATTTAGTTTGTGATTCAATCTGTAATAATATAAACAACATTATAATTTTTGTTAACTTTGAATTTTATACTTGATTTCCTATATAAAAAACAATTTGATATTCAATTTTCTATCTATTATATATACTACAACGATGAAAAAAATAATTAAACCTAGAGATATAGCTTAAATGAAGAGGAATATAAAATCAAATTAAAAAATAAAATTATTCTTTGGGAATTTTTTAAGGTTTCTTCTTATTGGTCCATTTAGCATTTATTTTTTAATTATAATATTTATTTTTAATTAAACCAAATATCTAACACATTTAGTCATATACTTTAATTTATACTTGAAATCCACGCTTTACTATTAAATTGTAACTTAAACTATATAACCTTTCAATTGACTATTTGTTTCCTCCATTCAATTTCAATTAACACACTATAAAATATAATTATAACTCCTCTAATTTAATTATTTTAGAATTATAACTTCCATCATATTTTATCCTATAAATACTCATTTGTACATCCTCCTCCACCATATATGATATTCTCAATATTTTCTTTGTTTAATTTTTAATGTTCTTGCATGGGTTGAAAGCTCAGTTAAGATATCATTGTAAGATTTTGATTATATATGTAACGCCCGTGTTCTGAAAATTAATAGGAGACTTGAATGTGTATAAGAATTAGGGTGAAATCGGTTTAATTCCGGTTGATTTCCTAAACTGGTCGATTTGTTTAACTGAACCAAAAGAGGTTTAATTAAAGTCGGTTTAGGTAAATTCTGGTTTAATCAGAATTAAACCAAAAACCCTAGTTTTATAAAGAACGCTTCTTCTCTCTCTTGTTTTGTGGCTGTTGTTTCTGAGAGTTGAGTTGAGAAAATGAAAAGGAGAAGTTTACTTGTGAAAAGGAGAGTGTTAGCTTTGCTTTGGTGTTTAAGGCAAGAGAAGCAGATCCGTCACGTTCTGGTAGAATAGATTTACGACGTATCAAATCTTATCGAAAGGTAATTAATTTTGGTAGGTTTGTTCTTAAGGCGTGTACGTTGATTCTCCTTTTTACAGAAGTGAATTTGGATTAATACTCAGTGAGTTATATGCAGTTTGGTGAGACGCGTTTTCTCTGTTGCGAACTGGGATCAGCGGAGTTTGTAAGTGCGATCGTGGATTCATCGTTTCTCCGATCGGCACCAAATTTTGTAGGGGGCTTCGTGACGTCTGTATCTTGCTTTTCACCGTAGGGATTAAGAAGTTAACGGTTAGTTTATGTTTTAGGGCTTCGTTTCTGCGGCTGTAGTTTTTTTGATGTTTCTGTCCTTTTGGTTCTTAGAGATTTGTGTTTGTGTGGTTTGTTGTAGGGCGTTGTTTGGCTGTTGCAGTCACGAAGAGAGTATTTCCTGGTTGTTTTTGTAACTCAAATCACCTTGTTAAGGTGAGTGCGTGACCATGAGCTTATCTAAGCGATTGGGATTGAGTGACTTGTTGTGTGATGATTTGTAGGTGAACTGGATGTGTTATTGGATGTTTAGCTTGCTGGATGGTTTGTTTTTGTTATATATGTGGGTGTTATCTCATTGCTTGTGTGTATAGCTCGTAGATGGTAGGATCGCCCTCACTAAGTATTTATGAAATACTTATGCATCTCTTTCTTTGATGCAGGTAAAAGCAAAGTGTGATCCGTGGAATCATGGCGAGGAGAGGAGGATGATCTAGGCACTCATTGGTGTTTTAGATTATTGTTGGATTTATTAGGGTGTTAGAATGGAATTTAGAAACATGTTAGGAGGATCATGTTTTGGAATAATGTTTGGTTGAACTTGTTGGTTTAATGGAATCGTATTATTGGATTTTTGGTTAAGTCTTCCGCTGGATAATATTGTTGGTTTACTTTAATGAGATTGCTTGGTTTAATTGATTTAAATTATTATGGCCGGTTTAGCTGGTTCGAATTAATTGGGTTAATCCGGTTTGCATGTTTAAAAGAAAAAAAAATGGGATGGGTTCTTTCAATTTGGTATCAGAGCCCTTACGGTTCTAGGGCGGGAGTAAATTGGTTATTTTTTATGTGATGTGTGAATTTCGTTGATGGAAAATGATGATGTGGATTGCATGCTGATTGATTTGTGTGTTTAATCAGTTGTGTGAGCATGGAGACCTAGATCATCCTCTCGAGCCTTCAATGAGATTCCACGGTAAGTTGTGATGTTTTATCTTTTCTCTAGTCATCTGTTTTCCTAGTTTCTGCTCGTGGCAGTGTGGGAGGCTAGAGGTTGCGAGCGTGGTGCTCGAAGTAGTTATGTGGTTGTGGTGGTTGTAGTCTGGAGCGCGGGTCTTCGGTGGTGTTTTGTTGGAAATGGATTTCCGAGAAGTTAAGTTGGAGACTATTATGTAATACTCTGAGTGACGGGATTGTTTGGGAGTTGACTTGAAGAATGGTCATGGTAGAGATGATATTCCAGGTGGGAATATTGTTTGGTAGGTATGACATTGTGATGTTGTACTTGGACTATGTGAGTATTTCTTGATTTGACTTGTTGTGTCATGTGTAAGAGAAATATGTGCGAGTTTCTAAAAATAGAAAGTGTCGGGTTTGACGGTTCTATTTTTGGAAAGTCTCGGGGTGGTGGTTAGTATAGCATTGCGATGCTATAAGTGGACCACGGGAGGTATATCTAATCGAGAGATATGCTCGGGGGCGTTTAGACTTATTTGCTCGGATATGATGTGATGGCTTCGGATGACGATTCGAGTGCACATTTGAGGGTGACGACCCGAGAGCGAGCGTGAGACTTCCCGGATACCGTAGCTAGAAGGCGGGTGGCCTAATAGTGAGCCGGTATGACTTGAGGGTTGCGACCTGATAGCGGGGGGAGTGGTGAGACTTCCTGGATACCGTAGTCTAAGGCAGAGGCCTGAGGACGAGCCGGTATGATTCATGGGTTGCGACCTGTGGACGGGGGAAGTGGGTGAGTATGAGCAAATAGGGTCTGGAACGTGAGTATATGGATTAGATAGGAGCCTCAGAGGAGTCAGTTGTGGGAGTGCAGATCGTTTGGGACGGTTGCACGGAGTCCAACTGGTGGACGGTGTTGAAGGATTCGAGGACGAATCCATGTTAGTGGGGGAGAATTGTAACGCCCGTGTTCTGAAAATTAATATGAGACTTGAATGTGTATAAGAATTAGGGTGGAATCGGTTTAATTCCGGTTGATTTCCTAAACTGGTCGATTTGTTTAATTGAACCAAAAGAGGTTTAATTAAAGTCGGTTTAGGTAAATTCTGGTTTAATCAGAATTAAACCAAAAACCCTAGTTTTATAAAGAATGCTTCTTCTCTCTCTTGTTTTGTGGCTGTTGTTTCTGAGAGTTGAGTTGAGAAAAGGAAAATGAGAAGTTTACTTGTGAAAAGGAGAGTGTTAGCTTTGCTTTGGTGTTTAAGGCAAGAGAAGCAGATCCGTCACGTTCTGGTAGAATAGAGTTACGACGTATCAAATCTTATCGAA